TTCACAGCATCTCCGCTGTCAGCCATTTTTGATTCTAAGTCAAAATAATTTGTTTCCTGAACGACAGGTGGAGCTTTTATGCTCTTACAGGAGCGTAATCATGGTGTGCTTACAGCCAGGTACTTTTTGTCGATACTATTCATAAATAAGTGATTAACTTAAATAAATAACAGTAACCCTGAAGAATCATCGTTTCTACATATAATAAATGTAATAGATACATTTTAAGTAAATTTATTTTATTATAATATTTTAAGCTTTTAAAAGTATAGTCTTATTTATTTTAAAATATATTTGAATTGCTCATGAAGAATGATACATTCCTTTTTCTTCTTTTTTATGAGAAGAATCAGATATAAATGTTGGAAATAACTTTTACATTTAATTAAACAGTAACATGAAATAAGCATAAGTTAATAATTTGTTTATAAGGAAAGGGGATCCATCTATTTTAAAATATAGACGAATCGTAGGAAATATGCTAGATACGGCCTTGTTCTTGTTCGACGTATACTATCTATTCCGAAAACATTAATCGCCTTGTGCCCACCCACTAAGATGGCTCCTTTATGGGGCAATACTCGATGTTTGACGTGAAGTTATTTACACACCTGGAATTAAACGTTCGTTGAGACAAGTTGTAGATGCCTTTCGGTGCACCGTGTACGTGAAGCAGATCAAAAAAGAGTGTGTGCTCTATAGCAGTGAAGGATCGATTGAGTTCTTGAAGAAAAAATTATACGGGACGGCCGGTTGGTGTAATAGTTCGCTTGTCGAACAAAAATCTGTACAGGTACCATAGTCTTTGCTATACCAACCAAGATAGTTTGATTAGTATCCTGATTTTGCTAAGATAAGTTATAGTGTATTACATATATCGTATATATTATACACTTTATAAAAATTTGTGGAATTGCAAAACTCTATCGTCGGTGTCAAAATTGACCGCGGTTGTGTACAATGCATATTGATCTATTCGTAGCTGTCATTTGTATATCGAATAATTTGTTTCTGCTGCATGAATCATTTCTTCTAAATCTTACATTAAATTTATGATTTTGATTCGTTTCTCAAGTAATAAATAAGTATTTATTCCATCACGATAAATATATTCTGTCGTTATTACAAAATACATTTTTTTGTAATTTATTAAGAAGCAATATCGTTATAATATTATTCGAAATTATTTTCAAAGATATTGTTCATGAAATATTATCACGTTAATCTTTGAATAATTGTATAAATCTATGATTCGTATTATATATGTGGAGGTTAACGCAAAAATGTGTTTCGAAACGTTTCTTAAGGGTTTTATTCCAATGGATCCATAACCTGTATAGTATAAGAAATAATTTAATTGCGTCCGTAATAAATTTAGTTGACGTGAAAATTAATTTTGTATGATATTTGCTTATCATTTGCTTTATTTCTTGTTTTACAAAAAGGAAATGTATATCTCAATATAATTTATAATCCATGTACATGTGATGAATGCAATTTTGTGTGATTTTACATATTTTACTAATGTGAATTTCAGGCACCGAATACTATCATGAATCATTAATCTAATCTTCATAACAAAGATATGTGTGCAAACATGAATGTAACTAACATCTGAAAATGCTATTTGTTACTTTATTCATTTGTGAACATTATTTTTTTTTTCAGATACACAGTGCCATTCCAAAGAACCATTGCTCACAGTTGTGCTAAATTATGAATGCTATGCTTTATAGAAAGAAATAAAGTGTAAAGATTTTTCAAGATCCATATTATTAATTTTTAGTGATGTAATTTTGTTATTCATGAAGCTACAATAATAACAATTATATTAATAAGACTCAAATGAAATTTTGGCAAATGACATTTGTTCATAATCATTCATATGTAACTTTGCATGTCATAAAGAACATTGAAGCATGATATTTAAATGTTGTGAAAGAAGAAAAAAAATAGAATAAAAGAGCATATTGTTAAAAATGTTACCAAAGGAAGGTAATGCTGATTTTCATATGAATTTTTAGACTTGATATAATGACCAAAGGGAGAAATACTGATTTTTAATAACTGTGGAGATAAATGAATAAGAGAAACTATTCATAGTGGTACTTAAAAATGTCCTGAGTAAAGTTTGATGGAGAAAAGATTTTTATTTTCACACTTAATTATATAAGTGACCTAATCAAGTTAAGCTTTAAAAATGGCAAGGAAAAATGATAATATCAAAACCATCAATGTTGCCGTTGTTGGTCTTTCTGGCACTGAGAAAGATAAAGGGCAAGTTGGTGTTGGCAAATCATGTCTATGTAATCGTTTCATGCGTTCTTTGAACGATGATTATAGTGTGGACCATATATCAGTGTTATCACAGGTAATTGCATATTTGTTGGTTAAATACATTTTCATACATTGTAATAATTGTTAGTAAACTTACTAATTGACTATTATTTTTTATAGTCAGATTTTAGTGGTCGGGTGGTAAATAATGATCATTTCCTATATTGGGGTGAAGTTACAAAAACAGCAGAGGATGGATCAGAATATCAGTTTCAAGTAATAGAACATACAGAATTTATAGATGATGCATCTTTTCAGCCTTTTAAGGGTGGTAAAATGGAACCTTATGCAAAAAGATGTGCAGCTACAAAAATTACTAGTGCAGAAAAGCTTATGTATATTTGCAAAAATCAATTAGGCATAGAAAAAGAATATGAACAAAAAGTTTTACCAGATGGTAAATTAAATATTGATGGTTTCTTATGTGTATTTGATGTAAGTGTTGTACCAAATAGATCTGTAGAAAAACAGGTTGAAATAGTAGCAAATATATTGAATGGTTTAATGAAAACTAAAAAACCAATAGTTTTGGTAACAACTAAAAATGATGATGCTAATGAACAATATGTAAAAGAAGCTGAAAAATTAGTGATGCGTAAAGAATACAAAAGTTCCATTTTAATAGTTGAAACATCTGCACATGAAAATATTAATATTGATTTGGCATTTATGATTTTGGCTCAGTTAATTGATAAAACCAAAATGCGAAGTAAGGTAACGCCATTTGCGGAAGCGGCCAGAGCCAGAAAAGAATTATTAGATGCATCAACTGAATCTTTACAAAGATTGATTCGAATACATGTTACTGATTATAGAGCATTATGGTCCCAGGCATCCAAAAAATTAGCTCAACACAAAGAATTCTCAACATTTGTGGAACTGTTTGGTATTGATGCAACCCAAAGATTATTTAGGAGACATATTAAAAAATTGAAAGATGAGCAAGTGGCAAAGAAGATTCAGGGATATTTAGATATGTTACCTGACATTCTTCATGAAATATGTCCTGATGTAACAAACTTGATTAATGAGTATGTTTCCAAATATAATTGTGTAATTATAATTAAGAGGTGTTCTAATTTTTTACTGAATCTATATATTTTATTTATATAGAGAATGGTCTGCTGTGCAACAATATATAAAGGAACATCCCGATTTTCATCAGTTTTTCTATGAATGTCCAGAGGATATCCCATGGATTGATTGTGATTTTGGTGAGAATAATGGAACGAAGATTCCTTATGATGTTCTAGAAACACCAGAAGCTGAAACTGTTTTCAAAAATCACATAAATGTATTACAACAAGAACAACGGCGATTAGAGTAAGTATTATACCTTTAAAGTTGAGTATAGAATATATATGCAGATATTTCTTGATCATACTTTATTATAATTATAATCTGCTGAATTTTTACTATTAATAAATAGCAAATAAATCATTAATTCTTCGTGGTACAAGCTTTAACATAGATATTAACCCTTTGCACTCGAAGCCTTTTTCGCGTGGCGAACCAGCAACTCGAGACGTTTCGCAGCATTTTTAGCGAGTTTCTTACCCCTAACTTAAAATGATTACACACACAAATTAATGTATAAAGCTTTTATATTTTAACATTTTATATATATTTACACCTTTATGAAGATAATTTCTTAAATGTTAGTCTCTGTAATTTTGCTGTGTATGATATTTTATATAACAATTGCCAATATGCATGCCCGGCTTGTTGGGGCAAGTATTACAATAATATGTTGTTTGATGTCTTTTGCCGGGTTTATTTCTTTGAGAACAGATTTTGAAACCCTTCCTAACTCCTGTTAGAATATTAGGCAGCTTTTCATTCAAGCGGATGCCTTCGGGATCGGAGGTTGAAGTCGAGGCTTGATCATTGCAGGAGTGTCACCTACTATGAATGGTATTCTTGAAGGTATTTCTTCAGATTCAGTACCACTAATCCATTCAGAACTGTCCCGATTGTGAGTCGTCTGTAGTATCAGTATCGCTGTCACATTCACTGTCTATTACTCTGATCTTTCGCCTTCTTACACCTCATACTTCATCACTATCATCAGCACTGCTGTTATTCTCTCTATTGTCAAGCTCTCTGTGTATAGATGTAATTTCCTCGTTAAGCAACGTTAAATCAAACTCATCTTCATTTGAGCTTATTTCATTACTACGTTCCATGCTTATAGGGATCAAAAACTTTAACTTTAGTTGTACTTTTGCCACGACTGTCAAGTACGAACTAATGCCGAAAATGCAGTCCGGTTCGTGGTTGCGGACTAATTTCACATAAGAAAATCTTATCTCCATTTGAATAGGTGTCATTTCACACTTAAAAGATTATACAGAAAGATTGTAGGAAGCCGCTTGAAAGAAACTAAACGTAAACAGTCATTGCCGCGCATCGAGTTTCCGTATTAAACCAATTGGTGAGTGAGAGTCACCTCTCGAGTTGCGGCATCAAACCATATGGTGAGTGAGAGTCACCTCTCGAGTGCAAAGGGTTAAAGTTACATAGTCATTCAGCATTTTAGATAATAATACTTATGTGCAATGCACTAATGCTTTGCTTTATTCTGGGTGGCGTTTCTTTTGAGCAGACTTCCTAAAAGGTAAATTGTGCTTTTTATTGCTTTATACTTTAGGATATAATTTTTTTTTAGAGAAATACATAGCATTACTAACATTTGGTAGTGTTTTATATGTAAGACTATAAATGAATATTGTATAAATATTGGAAATAATTATATTTTAATAACAATATTTTAGTTATTTATATAAAAGTATTGTTCCTTAGATGGAAAAAGCAGTTTAAACAGTTATTGGAAGAGACTGGGTATGTTACACCTGGAAAACATTTATCTGAAGTTAGAGTGCTTTTTATGGGTAGAGAATGCTTTGAAGCTCTTTCTCATCATGATTGTCAAGAAATATATGATCAACATCAAAAGGAAATTATTGAAAAAGCAAAACATAATTTCCAAGTAAGAATATATGCGTTACTGTACGATATTAATATTTTACATTTTATTGCATTTCCTGATCTTCTGTTTTAGGAACTGTTATTAGAACATGCTGATTTGTTCTATCACTTTAAAAGTATAGCGCCATCTGGTACTATAACACAAGATGATATTAAAGAAATAACAGATGCATTGGTGGATGATTTTAGGTAATTAATCAAGTTTTTCTTCTATTTTGGATGTACTTATAAACATTCTTGAGTGATTTCTTATGTTGTATAGGTATAAAGCTTTAGATAGGTTAGATCAAGATAGAAAATTAATGCTTTTCCAACATTTGGGTTTTGTACATTGTCCTATAAGGGAACATTGTCCAGCTTATCCAAATTGTATGGATGCACTTATAGAACGAATACTTGGAACAAAAGCTCACAGGTAAGATTTAAAACAATGGTAAAGATGAAGTTGTATATGTATTTTAATATTATGAATGTAATGATTTTGTAGACCTTCTTCATGGAATCACAGTAGTCAATGGCAATTAACATCTGATAACAATCAATTAAATTTAGTTATACTTGGAAGCAATGGTCTTGGTGAAGAATTTGCACGTGAAATAAGAGCACAAACAGAAGATGATGAAGTAGAAATTGATTGCCAGTTATATACACTTGGATATCGAATAATCGATGGTGACGTTGGACTACCGCATAATTCATTTACTACTTCTGACTTTATGCCTCATGGTATGAGACAAAGCTATAGTTATTACATAGTTTTATAAATAAGGATCTATAAGAGCATTTTGAACTTATAGGATCATTCTGTATTTACGCAAACGAAGATTCGTTTGAATATATTCGATCTTCTTTAGAGAAGACTTTATTATCAAATCTAGAACAAGAAGATAGGTTACCATTTCAAGGATTGCCTATTGTTATTATGTTTGTGCCAGAATCAGCTATAGACGAAATGGAGGCAATGCGACTTAGGAAAGAGGGTCAGAATCTTGCTGATAGGTATTAATTACATACAAAGTCTATATTTCGTTATAAATTGGGGAAAAAACAAAAAGATGTTAATGATCAATTTTTATATTAGTTTACAGTGTCCATTCATTGATGTCTGTATAGAGGATTTAGAGCAAGATAAAAGGTTTCCTACTCCACTTGTGAAAGATGCATTACAGCAACTTATACAATCTATAAATCACAGAGCTGGTTTTCTAAATATTTACCAAAGTGTTATTGAATGTTTGGAACCAGACATCAGGTAATACTATTCAAATAAATTGTATTATAATGTGAAATAGGGAAAG